ACCTTCTTTCCAAAGGCAGCCAGTTTAGCATGGGCCTGGGCAATATGCATGTGTATTAGTACTACTCATTTTTGTTTTTGTTTTCCTGGGCTTTTCAAGCACTTATACAGGTGATTTTGGCTATGACATTTTTAGAGGTGGTTTTATTCACCAACTAGCACATTTATTAAAGAAAACCAGAGCCTCAGAAATTTTGAGCCCAACCCATTTATTTTTAGAAGAGCTGTGACTCAGCAGGTCACAAAGTGAGTTCATGATGAAGTGCACACACAAAGATCTAAGTGAATTCATTTGTCTGATGAAGCTACTGAAAATGCCTCATATGAGATGTTTATGGATGTGTCTTCAGAATTCGGGCAGTTACTAATGAGACTCTGTGGCAACCTGTACAAAGAAAGAAAAGGCAATTATATATCAAGAGTGATGTCACTTTGCCTCAATATGTGTCACTCTTGACAGCATTTACTGTTACTGTTTATAGTACTTGGATGAGTGAACACATTGCCTTAAGGAGGGACCTTTATTAACTGAAAGAGACTCCAAGCAGGAAGCCATCGCTGCATTTAAAGGACCCATCTCTCCCCTTCTCCCCTCGGCAGCTGCCTTAATCCAGAGTTTCTCCTTTGCAGATTCAGACCTAGTGTGAATGCACTACTGAAAATTGAGAGATCATTAATATTTCACAACCACTCAGAAAAAAAACAATGAATTTTTAACTTTTTAGATATTATATAGAATAATCTGTGTTTTGTAAGTGGGGGATTTCAATTTTAGTACTGGTTGGACACAACTCAGCATTTATGATGTCCTTACTGTACACTAAAATAGACCATCTTGGGGCTATTGTCAAGATGACATCTACATTCTGTTTTTTAATTAAACATGTTCTGTGATAATGGTTTTCAAAGATAACTGGTCAAGTTGATTGTTTGATGTGTGCTCACCTTTTCCTTCTGAGGTCAGACCCTATTTTGAGACTTTATTTTTAAGATGCCTGTATTCACGGTCTACATCACAGAACACCTGCTTTCTTACCTCTATGAGAAACCTCTTTACTTAAAAGTCAGGTCCTTCTAGTACACTAAATTTATCTGAAAAGTGTATAACAGCAGGAATTCAGTGTCAGAATATGAATTCAGTTTTTTGTACATTCACATTTCACAGTTAAGGATTAACTCCTTAAGTGTGGAGTTATGAGAAATGCTGCCTGGATATTTATGACAAATTGTGTACCTAGTCTTTAAAAATTAAATGGTAGCTTGAAAACAAACTGCTCAGTTTTGCCAGTAATGTTTGATTGCTTGATTTTTAATAGGCATTTAGAAACATGTGAGGGAAATGGGTTTAATTAATACATTCACTTCTTTTAAAAGATTGATACATTTATTGAGCGCATGTTCCAGCACTTGGGTTAGGCACCAATGATTAGAAAAGCAAAAGGCAAAAGCCAAAACCACAGAACACCACAGTAAAAATACCTACTACTCTTTGGGGGAAAGGTAATTAGTGTAAATAAATGATCAATTTATATTCCAACAAATAGCCATCACTAAAAGGAGGGAAATGACCACTAGGAAAATTGTTCATGTGCGCCTACTTAATTTTTAAACACTTGCTGTGGCTACAAATATATGGAACATGATGATTTCTTATTCCATCTCTAGGTGAGAGCTTGGTCTTTTATTTTTAAAGTCCTTAGGGGAGACAGGACTTATTTGTTCTTGGCTATTTGAATTAAGAGAACTTACCATCAAATCAACAAATTAAGTGCACCTTTAGTTTGACATTTTTTTTATAAGATTTTTTATTTATTTATTTATTTGAGACAGAGAGAATGAGAGACAGAGAGCATGAGAGGGAGGAGGGTCAGAGGGAGAAGCAGACTCCCTGCCGAGCAGGGAGCCCGATGCGGGACTCGATCCCGGGACTCCAGGATCATGACCTGAGCCGAAGGCAGTCGCTTAACCGACTGAGCCACCCAGGCGCCCCTAGTTTGACATTTTTGATGCTGAATACAAATTCCCAATATTTGATTGTCATTTCTTTCCTTCTCCTCCTCTCCACTTACCAGTTTGTCTTCCTCCTCCTTCCTCTTCTTCAACAACTAAAATATTGCTGGTTGGCTGTATTGGGCATTAAATGGGTGGGAGACACTATTCTCAATCTGTTATGTAGATTAATTCTGCCATCCAACAGGACTCCAGTACTGCTGTTCCTCTATTTTACAGATGAAGAAACAGAAACACTGAGAGGTGAACCTGCCCAAGCTTAGTGCAGCCTCCTGTGGAAGTAGCTTAGCTGCTTCTTTTGCATGCTGCGTGAGAAAACACTCTGACTTATGGTACAGATGAAACCAGATGAGTTTCTCTCTGTTTAGGTTTACTTGTTAACTAAAGAAAGGGCCTTTTTTTCCCCACTTCATCCAACCTCATTTAAGCCACTTTAAAAATAAATCTCTTAATATGTCTTACTGTATGCTGACTTCTTTTATTGAATAATGCACCAAGTAGAAAAATGTAATGCTTAGCCCAAATACAGTTATTGAGTATATAGGTAAAGATAACACAAACTACTGCAAGTGATATTTGGAAAGAGGGGGAAGACTGTATTCTTTGGGGTTATCCAAGAGATATTTAAAATAATAGGAAGCAGCAGGATATAATAACACAAACTCGGATATATGATGATAATAGTTCTATCGGTTGCATTTCATAAATGAACACTATTGAATATATTTTAATCCAGTTTACTTCTGGGTTCATATGATATTTGCTGTCATTCCACTTACATAGAAATACAGTTAATAGCTACAAAGATACTCATCACAACATTGTTGTGAGAGTTATTGGAAAAAAAAGTATGTCCAAAATCTTTCATTTTTGAGAAAATTTAAAATTGTTTCGCAGATCAACCTCTGGTTTTTTCACATGTAAACTAAATATAATTTAAATAACAGGGAATTACATCCTTGCTTTGTGTATACAACAATTTAAACAAAGTTAATGCTCAGAAAATATATTCTGAAAGGTGAGTGAATCTAGAAAATTGGGTTAGTGTACTTGGCTGAATTTGGATAATTTAAGCACAAAAGAAATTCTGTCAAGAAAATAAACCTTAAATATTGTTAGAAATGTTGTATCTATATATTTGAAGCATCCTTTACTTTTGCTTTTAAGAAAAAAGAAACTTATGGAGAATTATGAGGTGAGCTAATATTACCTGAATTATAGAAATTGTTTATGTAATCTGAATATTAGCTTACTTCCCAGCTTTTCTTTGCTGGTTATCCTCTGTGGTTTTAAGTAGCGAGGGAAAAAAACATCTCCAAGAGGAGCAAAGGAAGAGTGGAATGTCAGAAGGAGGCCCACTGAAGCTTCCCTCAAAAAATAGTGGCAGATATATCTTCAAGATGTATCTGAGAGATGGTTATTATCATCTCTGCACCCTCTGGAGGCTAAATCATTTGACAGCATAAAGTCTGAACAAATACAAATTTGTCCAGAAGTTAGAAGAAAAGTAGTATTGAGAATTAAGACACATTGAGAAGGTATTTCTAGTAGCTTCTTTGATCTTATTGCCTGAAATTAATTCTTTTGCATACTACTCCTTTTGCACTGTAAATTTTCCTTTCCCCTGAAGAGGGAAAAAGATGAAGAATGATTTACAGAAGAAAGGAAAATGGGTCCAGAAAGATTAGGTCATAGAGATCAATTTTACCACCTAAAATCTTGCTGGGAAATTAACTTCTCCAAGGAAGCCTCTCATAATCTTTATTTTATTTTATTTTTTTTAAAGAGTTTATTTATTTATTCATGAGAGACAGAGAGAGAGAGAGAGAAGCAGAGGGAGAAGTAGGCTCCCAAGGAGCAGGGAGCCCGAAGCGGGACTCGATCCCAGGACCCTGGGATCATGACCTGAGCCGAAGGCAGACGCTCAACCGTCTGAGCCACCCAGGCGCCCCTCATCATTATTTTAATACTGTATCCTTCCCCTTCTTCCTACATCCCTACTTTCATCCCTTTATCCTCATCTACTTTGTTTTGTAACATTCATCACCTCAAGATAGGTTATAAAATTTGAGTATATAGTTATTTATTTTTTTTTTTAAGATTTTATTTATTTATTTGAGACAGAGAGAATGAGAGAGAGAGAGCACATGAGAGGGGGAGGGTCAGAGGCAGAAGCAGGCTCCCTGCCTAGCAGGGAGCCCAATGTGGGACTCGATCCAGGGACTCCAGGATCACGACCTGAGCCGAAGGCAGTCACTTAACCAACTGAGCCACCCAGGCGCCCTGAGTATATAGTTATTGCTCATTGTTTCTACCAGTAAAAATGTAAGCTCTTTGAGGGCAGGGATCTTTATTTCCTTCATTAATATATTAAAAGTACTTAGAAAAGTGCCTGGGGCATAATAGGTGCTCAAATATTTGTGGCAAAATACCCCTTTCTGGGGTGAGGTGGGGGGAGAGTAATTAAAGAGCCACTCAAAATTCCAAAAGATTTCTAAGATAAATGTAAATAAGGAATCCTAAGTATTTTAAATAATTCATTAGAATTTAGTGTGACATTTTTCAAAGAAGATGATTATTTCTTTCCATGTACTACTGTTTAATTTATATTTCAGCCTCCCTCCAGGGAGCACGTTGGGCTGATCGTTTCAGGAAGTAAAGCTTAAAAGATGAGGGAGTTTATTTTATTAAAACAAGAGAAAAGAAAGAAGGAATGCATAGACTCATGGTTAGGGGTTTTCTAGGGAAATGGCCATTCTTCTATTTTATGCAGAGGGATTGAGTATTCTGTTTGTACCTCATTCATTTAACTATTGTTATGGGTTGGTGAGTGTTTCTGAGGAACTGAGTTTATTATAGAAATTTATGTCATCTGATTTATCCCAGTTGGAAGAGAGAAAAGAGGGCACAGTGAGAACATAGATTAATTTATACTTTATTATATATTTAATTAAAATGTATCTATATTTTATTAGAATGCCCTAAATTAGAGGGCATTCAAAATTGTAATCTGTTGACCAATGCTATTTTGTAATAAAATGTTAGTGGCAAAGTGAGAAAAATAAGGCTATCCATATCCTTCAAATCAGCAATCCCATTTCTAGGAATTTATTCCATTTTTACATAGAAATACAGTTAATAGGTACAAAGATACTCATCACAACATTGTTTATACTTGCAAAAAAAGAAATCTCAGTATCTACTAAAACTTCAATATGTCTATACAATGCAATTTTATGCAAAGTATAGAAATGTATTGAATGAAATGAAGAGATATCCATCAAATACTAAGTCAAAAAAGGAGATTTTTAAGGCAGTATAATTGTGTGTGTCATCCATACAAGTATATTCAAGCATGAACAACTCAAATATAGTGTTAGCAGTGGTTATTGGGATAGGGGAGGATTCTTTAAAAGTTTTCCCTGCCTATATTTTATATTTTTATACAATTAGAAATTAGAATGTATAAGACACATAATAGCATTTATCGAGAGATAAGTCAGTGTTTGTACCTTACATCTTCATAATTTGGGGATATTTCACTGACCTTTGGTATTAAAAAGACTTGAGGTTTGGAACATGTGTTCCCTTCATTTAATAGCTATGTAAGTTCAGCAAAAGGAAGACTTCCACTTCTTATATACAGCTCTTTAATTTTTTGAATACATAGACATGGGAAGCACTCTGGCCATTAGTAATACACACACACACACACACACACACACACATACACTCCTCAACAGCTTAGAACATATTTTTGCACATTGTATCTCTTAAAATGTGGAAGCTGGGTTATATTACTGCTCTTGTTTTTAAAAAGTGGGAGTTTAATGTTCATGTGCTTTGTGCGAGTTGTCCAAGTTCATTCAGCTGGTAAATTCTGGGCTCTGAAATTCAGATCTCTGTGCCTACCAAAATCAGGTTCTTTTTTTTTTTTTTTTTTTTTACATGCAATGTTATGCACAACTGCAGGCAAATAAATGGTACGCCCTTAAGCACACAGGGTACTTTTAAAGAATATCTCCATGCCCCCTGGACCTAATCCATGGCACCATTTGGAGTTCTTCCCTTGAGCAGACGCTGATATTCTAGCCCGGAGAGAGAGAGGAAGGACTGTGGCCTGCCTTGGCAGCATTTCATGAGTAGCTATTCGAGCTACTGTGTTGCAAGTTCACCTGATGATAGTGGCTGGTTTGTCTTGCCTTCTCCTGGCAGCCTACAGGGATTTAGATGAATTGGATTGAGAGTCAGATGGATTTCCAAGCTCCACCTATTTGTGATTTTTAACGCTGGAAAAGATATCAGCAAACTTGTCAGTTCTCTTCTACAGCTGGCAATATTTTGAATAATAGATTTCTCCTTTGGACACTTGTTTGAGAAAAATAATCCAAATCTTATCAAGATAAAAATACTTCTATGATCATGACAACCATTAAAAATGGTAAGTATAATTTCCTTTCATGAATACTGTATATATTTTGAGCTACTGTATTTAATAAGCTAAGGATATGTTAGGAGATTTTATCCATCCACTTGGCACCTCAAACCTAATATGTTTAAAACATAACTCTTTTTTTTTTTTTTTTAAAGTAGACTCCATGCTGGGCTTGGAGCCCAAGGTGGGGCTTGAACTCACGACTCTGAGATCAACACCTGAGCTGAAATCAAGAGTTGGATGCTTACCCAACTGAGTCCCCCAGGCACCCCTAAAACATAACACTTGATCTAACGCACCCCTGCTCCAGTCCACTTCCAACAGCTTTTTCCAGCTCAGCCATTGATGATGATATCCTTCCAGCTGCTCAGGCCAAAACCTCAGTGTCATCTGTGTGTCCTGTCCTCTTCTTACATCCTGTATCCAATCCACCAGCAAATCATGTTGAATTTGCCCTCAGAATATATTCAGTTTGGACCACTTCTCCCTCCTTGCACTGCTTCCACTCTGAATCAACTTACCAGCCTTTCTGGCCTGAGTGTTGGCAGTAGCCTCCTTACTGGTCTCCTTGCTCTCTCCTAAACCCTTTTGGTCCAGTCTCAGTGCAACAGCAGGATTGATTCCTTTAACATAGGTCTGTTCCTCTCGCTCTTGGGTCACAAAGGCAAAAACCATCCATCTCTTTCAAGTAAATGCCATAGTCATCCTAATGTCCACCCAGGCCCCTTGCTACCACTCTGACCCATTCCCTTACAACTACTCTGCCCCCACGCCTGTTCCAGCCACACTGGCCTCTGCTGGTCCCCCCAATGCCCCAGGCTGCTCCTGCCTAGCCCTCTTCCCCACATTGCTCTGGCTCACTCCCAGAGCTTCTTTCAGACTCTACTCAATTGCCAGTATCTCAGCTTCTTGGCTTTTGTACTAAAGCTCCCTACCCCACTACCTGTCATTATTTTTCTTCAAACTACTTACCATTATATGTTACTTATTATATGCCTGGTGTGTCTCCCCTGCTAGAATGCATATGTCGCAAGAGGTCAGGTATTTTTGTTTATCTTGCTAAATGCTCGATACCTAATGCCTGAAACCATGCCTGGCACAGCGAGGGCCTCAACCGATATTTGCTGACTATTTGTTGAACCAAAAGTTCTTTCTTTCTTTTTTTTTTTTTTTAATATTTTATTTATTTCTTTGACAGAGAGAGCGAGAGCAGGAACACAAGCAGGGGGAGTGGGAGAGGGAGAAGCAGGCTGCCCACCGAGCAGGGAGCCCGATGTGGGACTCGATCCCAGGACTCTGGGATCATGACCTGAGCTGAATTCAGACGCTTAACGACTGAGCCACCCAGGCGCCCCCAAAAGTTATTTCTTGATTATAGTTAATATCAGGCATTGTATTGGGCATTAGAGTACTATGTAAATATTAGTCTTGCTAAACTATGCTTAAATATATCATGTTGATTTGGGGAGGAGAATGTGAAATAATTTCTTCTTAATCATTAGACTTTTAGGCAAATGGCATTGATTTAAACAAATTTGCCAAAAACATCCCATTTCAGGTGTCAAACCATCATTTATACAATAGTTTTAGCTATACTAGCTATTTTTTTATTTCAGCATTTGCCTCCTGTCTGTTTTTGTTTTCCAGAAAAGAGGCACAGTTAGATGAAGAAGGACAATTTCTTGTCAGAATAATATATGATGATTCTAAAACTTATGATTTGGTTGCTGCTGCAAGCAAAGTCCTCAGTAAGTTGAATGTGACTTTCCTTCTTTGGCTAAATTATACATAGAAGCCCAGAGGAATACATGAACCAAGATCCCATTGTATAGTTCCATAGGTTGTACACTGCACAACAGTGGAGGGAAGGCTCAGGCTTTCCTGAGTCCTAGTTTTCCGTTACAAGCTCTTTAGAGAGTGGAGAAGCTCTCTGCACGCCCTCACAGAAAACCATGTGTTGGGGTGGAAAAAAGTTATTGAGACTTCATGTAATAATAACTTCAGTTATGGTGTCAACAACACAGTAATTACAAAAATGTAGTATGCAGAAAATATTGTCCCCAAACCTCTCTTGCAATCTCGTGTTCCATTAACTATTGGTAAAAGAAACAAGAAACAGGTCTACATCAGGGAAAGCTCATGCAAAGTAGGCAAAGTTCAAAAACAGCTTCATGGGGAAAAAAAGTTGTTCTCAGAATTATTCTCTTGTGCTTAATTTACAACTAGGCCACAGTTTGGGTAGAATAGAAAGAAACTTTTTAGCTTTGCCACTGATAACTAGAAGAGCAAATACCTATTACAGAATACAAGAATTACAAAGAAAGAATGGTAATTTGTTAATAATAAAAATATTCAGCCTCGTTAGTAATCAAAACAGAGACAAATATGAAATTTTATTCATATAGATTTGGTAATTTTTAAAATTAAGCATCTAGTGTAGTCAAAAGTAGAGTTAAAGAAGAAATCGCACACATTGTTAATCTGATGGTAAATTAAGACAACATTGTAGAGAATACTTTTGCATCATTAGTCAAAGTCTCTTAAAAATGTACAAACCCTTTAGGAATTTTTCCTAAAGGAATTATTAGATCTATTTGCATTAAGATTTATGTATATTTTCATTTCAGAATAACTTGTATTATCAAAAATTGGAAAAGTCTACCTTTTTGATAAGAGTGGATTGGTTAAATAAATTGTTGTGTCCCTAAGTTAATGAGATGGCAGTTAAAATGGATATTACAGAAAAAAATGTAAAGATTTTAGGAAATATTAATAATTGAACATTAAGAAAAAAGCAGGATATTGGGGTACATATTATATGTAACCAATTTATTAAATATGCATATTTACATTAAGAAAGCAATTTTTCACCAACATACTGTCATGTGCATTCTTGGTTTTTTTTCTGTGTTTTTCAGAAAAACTAAGTTAATACATTAAATATAGGTTTAAAAAAGTTCAAAATTAATAAAGTAGTTTGTTGTGAAAGCTGAGAAACTGTTTTGCCCGTAGGTACACATCTACACTGCTGACCTGTCAATATTTTGTCTTCACAGATTTCATTGTATTGTTCAGGTCAGAATTTTTTCTTGTGATCAATGTCTACCTGTGCAAAAATTGAGGCTATTTTAATTTTTTAATTATGCACCTATTTTCATTCTTCCCGTTAACAATATTCTAGCTGTAATATGTTTTATTGTTGTTGTTCTCCCAAACCTATAAATAGATCTCAATGCTGGGGAAATCCTCCAAATGTTCGGGAAGATGTTTTTTGTCTTTTGTCAAGAGTCTGGTTATGATACAATCTTGCGTGTCCTGGGATCTAATGTCAGAGAATTTCTACAGGTAAGTAATTTGAAGTCTCGTAGTTAAAAGTTCTGAGTTAACTGATTCTTTTTTTTTTTTTTAAAGATTTTTTTATTTATTTATTCATGAGAGACAGAGAGAGAGAGA